TAAATATAGTGCTCAGTATAATTGTTTAATGAGATAAATTTAACAATGTTAAAAATTCAAAATATTAAAACTTGATTATTAGTTGAATTTCAAGATTGAGGAGGAAAGAATCAGGCATGTTTATAAAGTTTCTACCTTGGGCGACTCAGAGGATAGTTCTATATACACTAAGAAAGAAAATAGAGAAGAAATAAGAAGTGAGTGTGTGAAGAAAATAAAGAAATAGATTTAGGGCATATAAAACTTGAGGTATCACTAGACATCCAGACAGAGATGTCCAAGGGGAAGTTGAAGATGTAACAGCCAGTTGTGCAATTTATTGTTACATTTCTCAAGACACTAAGGTCTATTTCCATTTTTGGTTTTACCTTCTTTGACTTCAGACATGTTGATACATTGCATCATGAAGCTAATATTCTTCGCTGATAAGTTACTGATAGCCAGTGACTTCTGAATATATGTGATTAATAAAGAGAAATATTCTAAAATAATGCAAAGAAGTCATGACCAAAAAAAAACATTCTGTGGAGATGATGACTCAACTATAAAATTGGTAATTTTAAATTAAAATATTTGACCAACTGTAAAATTAAATTTTACGATTAGATGGAAATGGTGTTTTTTGGTTTTTGTTTTTGGATTTTTTTAAGTTTTTAGTGCTTATGAAGCTATACAAAAGGCTACCATTTTAGATATCCTACATTGCTTTAGGCATAGGACATATTGTGAGTGGTACCTTACAATTAATGCTTAAAACTCTCTATATTTAAATACACACATAGAAAATATTTAAATATTTTCTCTCTATATTTAAATACACACATAGAAAATCTTCAATTCATATATTTTTCTTTACTTCTTTTAGCTATACTTACTTCTATTTTATTTTATCAAATTCTTTCCAGCCTTCAAAAAACTACCACCCATCTCTTATTTCCCCAGGCCATTATAGTGCTATCTTTTTGAATTCCCCAGAATTGAAAACTTGAAAAAAAATAGTTTTTAATTCTTCTTCAAACACATATAGTCATTAGTCATAAAAATATACATTTTTTCACAATTTATCTTGCAATCTCTATTTATATAATTTCATTTGAGATCAACCAAATCATCATAATACCAGTCAACAGCTGAAATTTTGCTTTCATTCTCCCTTTAGGGCAACTCATTCTACACATAAAAATATTTGTGATCAACATGTATCAGACAGGCCCCTCTCAGGATTAAGAAATCCTTTTTTTCTTTCCTGTTTTTTAGTAGGTCAAGTACAAACTTCTCAATTTAGCTCTTTAGAAATTCTTTTAAAACTCTCTCAACTCTTACTGGTTTCATAAGTAACCACCCAAGCAAACTGCTTATCACTGATCAAATAAAACTTTATAATCCAGTTTTCCACACCTAAATTCTTGTATTCCCATTCCATTAGGAATGTTTATCCGAAAGCAATGCTTTCTTTCTTCAATTTCTTCATTAACCTATGCCCTGCATTAGGTCAATATTAGATCTTTAAGGGATTTCTCCTAATTAGACTTTTCCAGCCAGATTAGTGAGAAGAACAATGAAGAAGTAGTGCAGAGGGATAGGGCAAATGTAATAGGAAAAGCTCTGTTTTTCGTGGGAACCATGCATAATCTGCAATAATTGCATTATTTGTGGCAGTTTATATTAGATTTAGCTTTGTTGAAATAAGGTATAATCAACTAGATTCCAGTTTGAAAGGGTTATTTCCAGTACAGAAAACAATACAACAGACATTAGCAATCTCATAAGCTTTCAAATCTCTTTTCTTCATTAAATGGTATTTGAACATTACACTTAATGTAGTTTTCAAATTCAAAATATTTTGTCATAGAACATATTTAAATGCTATTCTAATTGTGAAGTTGGTTGGATTTATGTCAAATATTGAGTAATAGCAAATTATTTTTGTTATAAAAGTTCTTATTTTAGAAATTCTTTTTTAAACTATTTTTGTCATCAATATAATATTTTGTTTTGATAAATATTTTACACAAAGTGTGATAGTATGTGTAAATTTTTTATGCTGTCAAAATGTACTTGAGATTAATTATTCATGTTTTTCACATCAGTATATAATAAATATATACATATATATATTTAGAAATATGTATCTCCCCATCAGACACAAAAGGTTTTAATGTATGGTATTGCCTTGCTTAGTTAAAAAAATAAACTATTCTCAAACTCTTGTATACTTCTCTTCAATTTTAGTAGAAGGAAAGATGTGTGAAAGACTTATGAAAGCCAAACACAATCAATTAACATTACAACTGTTATCAATACTATGTTTCTTACATTAGACTATGCATGCTCAAAACTCTTGTGGTTGGATATCTATGTTACTGGGAGCTATAGAAAAGTAATATTGCTCTTTTTTGGCCCACGTTTTGTGAGCAATAATCTATAGTCTAAGATCAGATCTTTGTTGAATAGGAGAGTCCTAAAATGCTGAACTGGAGATAAGTTGATAATAGATAACAAATTTCCTAAATAGGAAGAATAGAAATGTGGAGAGTTAAATAACACCGATAAGGTTGATGGGACCTGAACAGCATATAATGAAGAAAGTTCTGTTCTTACTTTTAACAAAACATCTTGAAAAGCCCAGTGACTTGCTCTGGAATAAGGAAAATTAATGAATACCACAAGCTTCAGTGAGTATAATTCAAATACTGTTATTGAACTGTCATTTGGTTATCTCGTTTCTTTTCTAAAGAGTATTTCTTGAAATAAACTTTTCTCTCCATAACGTCATATTTGCTTCTAAAAGTTAGATTTCTGCTACTGCATGATGGAATAAGCCATTGTTTTTCAACATGTAGGTCGTTGCCAAGTTTTAGTTAGGCTGCGGAGATTAAAATTCAGAGATTTTTATATTGGTTTCATAGTGTCGGGCCACCACTTCTTAGATAAAACTCTTTCAGTCTAAATAGAACTTGTAAGTCTACTATAGGAGTTTTGGAGAAATGGTCAGGGAAAGGGTTAATTAAAATAGGAAGTAATGTATTGTAGTATTTCTTTGGCCTATCAGCTTCATTTGATCTTCATTCTCTGATAGTCACCATTATGTTTCTAGTTTATTTGGTTTGATATTATTAGAGACAATAATGCTTAGCACTACTACTGCTAATAATAGCCAAGAGTAATTTTGCAATTATTATGTATCAGATATAATACTAATGTCTCATATACATTATCATTTAATCTTTAGAATATACACGTGAATGTAATAACAAAAGAAAGACGGAAATTTTGAAACTTTTTTTCAACATCCTCTTCTTTCTTGTTTGGAGGAAAGATTAGAGCTTTATATCGGTCCCTCACAGAATTTATCATAGTGCCGTGCAAGTAATAATTTCTTAAGCAGTATTTGTTAGAAAAATAGAAACACATTTAATATAGATTTAATGTAGCTATTTTATATGTTGTGCCCTTCACACTTTAGCTGCTTTGGATGTTTTGTTACTTCTTTTTTTTGAGGCATCGTTATTCACAATTTTTCTGCCCATTGCTATGATTTTACATATTTTCATGGCAGAAGGTCTACTGCAATAACTGTACTAAAGCATCTCTGTGACACAGGCATGGCTACCTTTGTTTTACAGAGCAATTAAAGAACCATAAAGGAGACCAAAATGTTCTACTCCCGTTGAATTGATCAGATTAACATAAAAATGTGTTAGAAAAGTCTCATGATTATAAAGAAATTGCAATTTTTAACATTATATTTCCACCTTTAAATGCCAAGGGAAATTGCTTAACAGATTTTTATTATGTGATAACTCTCTTTAACAGTATTCTTTTTAGGCCTATGCATTTGCACATTCAGAATATAATATAATTATTATGTTTGTTCTATGTTTTAAATATTAGAAAATTTTCAATTAATTAACTGAAACAGAAATTCTTGACTGTGTCAAGCTCTTAAAATGTATACATTGAGAAGCATATTTTTAAAGTATTCTATTCTTAACAAAACATTTGCTACATAATAAAAAATCTAAAATAACACTTTCTTAATTTAAAATAGGCATGCTTAGGTTTATGTTTTATATTTTCATAGATATTTACTGCTTTGTTTTTCCCTA